TAAGTCAAGAGGAAGGGGACATATGTACACCTAAGGTTGATTTATCTTGATGTACAGCAGAAATCAACACAACATTGTAAAACAATTATCCTCCAATTAAAAATGAATTTTAAAAAAGCACAATGAGGTATCACCTCACAGCTGTCAGAATGGCCATCATTAAAAGTCCATAAACAGTGAATGCTGGAGAGGGTATGGAGAAAAGGGAACCTACCTATACTGTTGGGAATGTAAACTGGTGCAATCACTATGGAGAAAAGTATGGAGGTTCCTTAACAAACTAAAAACTGAGTTGCCAGATGATCTTGTAATCCCATCCATGGGTGTGTACCTGAAGAAAACCGTAATTTGAAAAGATACACGCACCCCAGCATGACAGCACTGTTTACAACAGCCAAGACATGGAAGCAATGTAAATGTCCACTGACAGATGAACGGATAAAGAAGATGTGGTCCCATTAAGTGGAAAGGAAACATGCACCCCATGTTCAGAGCAGCGTCATTCACAGTAGCCAAGATATGGAAGCAATCTAACTAGCCATACACAAATAATGAAGATGTGGCGTGTATACACATACACACACAAACTGGAACATTACTCAGCCATAAAAAGAATGAAAATTTGCCATTTGCAACAACATGGATGGATTTATGCTTAGTGAAATTAAGTCAGACAGGGAAAGACAAATACTGTATGATATCTCTTATATGTGGAATCCAAAAAAAAAAAAATAAAACTAGTGAATTTAACAAAAAAGAAACAGACTCATAGATACAGAGAACAAACTAGTAGTTATCAGTAGGGGGAGGGAAGTGGGGAGGTTCCAAAAAAACAGCAATGGATTAAAAGGTACAAATTACTATGCATAAAATAAATAACCTACAAGGATATACTGTACAGTACAGGGAATATAAGCAATATTTTAAAATATCTATAAATGAAACATAACCTTTAAAAATTGTGAATCACTATGTTGTACACCTGAAACAAATAATATTATACATTGATTGTACTTCAGTAAAAGTTTTATAGCTTAAAAAAAAGCTGAAGTATCTGTATTAATTTCAGATAGAGTAGACTTCAGAACAAGGGAAAATGTGAAGGTCAGAAGCATCACACAGTAATAAAGAACCCAATTCTTCAAAAAGACATATGAGACCTTATTGTGTATGTCCTTAACAAGAAAGCATCAAAATGTGTCAGGCAAAACTGATAAAACTGCAAGGAGAAATAGATGAGAATACCACTACAGTTAGAGACAGCAACAGCCCTCTACCAAAAATGGACAGATCCAGCGGGCAGAAAATCAGGGTAAGGGTAAAGCTGAATTCACCAGCACCACCCCCAGTGGTCAGAATCGGTATCTACAGATGACGTCATCCTACAGCAGATACTTTCTTCTCAAGCTCAAGTGGAACTGACACTAAGGTAGACCATCTAGTTCAGTTCAGTTCAGTCGCTCAGTCGTGTCTGACTTTGCGATCCCATGAACTGCAGCACGCCAGGCCTCCCTGTCCATCACCAACTCCCGGAGTTTACTCCAACTCATGTCCATCGAGTTGGTGATGCCATTCAGCCATCTCATTCTCTGTCGTCCCCTTTTCCTCCTGCCCCCAATCCCTCCCAATATCAGGGTCTTTTCCAATGAGTCCAGATAAAACATACCTAAATAAACTTAGAGTGGAAATTGTACAAAGTACACTATCAGACCACAACAGAATTAAACTAACTTAGTAACAACAAGATAGCTGGAAAATCCCAAAATACTTGGAGATTAAGCAACCTACTTCTGTATAATACATGGATCAAGAAGAAATATCAACAGAAAGGCTGAAATGTTTTTAACCAAATGAAAATAAAAATACAATTTATCAAAATTTATGGGATTCAGTGACGGGCAGTTGACAGCATTAAATGTTTGTATTAGAAGAGAAGAAAAATTTAAATTAATAATATAAGCTTCCACCTTAGAAAACTAGAAAAGAAGAGCAAATTAAAGGTAAAGTAAGCAGACAAAAAGAATTAAATTCAGAGCAAAAATCAATGAAAATGGAAAAAGGAAATCATCAGCCACAATTGGGACATGCTATGAAATAAAAGGTTCATAATCCACAGTCAGAAAAGTCCAGGAAGACTGAGGACTGCTGCAGACCCAGGGAGGCGAGGAGATGCTCCACCTGATGCTGAGCTGGCAAAATTACAGGGGTTATCTGAAAGTCAGACGATCACAATGTAGCAATGGTAACCTCTGATGTATATGGCTATACTGTGAATGTTTCTGAAAGTACTCTTATTTCTAGGAAAAACACACTCAAGTACTGGGGAGAGATGGGGCATTCCAGTCGGCAACTTACTCTCATGTGGTTTAGGGTAGAATCAAGTTCTCTGTAATGCTCTCCAACTTATCTGGAAGTTTGTGATCATTCTAAAACAAAAGTTTACTGAGAAAATAAAAGAAAACTCCATGAAAACAGACTTTGATTCCTTTTCTGGTGAATCCCTGGAACAGTGTCTGAAGATGTGTGGCTTAGGGGCGTGATAGCTAACCGCTGCAGAACTCAGGACAGGGTCCAGAATGCATAAGCATGGACAAAGTAAAATAAGCACAGGTATTTTAAAACTTAAGGGATAACTGCCAAAATAAATAGCTAAGGAAAAAAAAGGGTTACCTCAAGCAAGGAGCCTGGGTGAGAAGAAGCTGGACAAGAAAAAATTACTTTCCTTTATAGCCTTTCTGCACTATTTGACTGTTTAGCCAAGTGTTAGAAAGCACTGAACTTTGATTTTTGAAAATGTAAGGAATGGAAAGTTATGACCAACCTAGACAGCATATTAAAAAGCAGAGACATTACTTTGCCAACCAANTGACTCATTGGAAAAGACCCTGATGCTGGGAGGGATTGGGGGCAGGAGGAGAAGGGGACGACAGAAGATAGAGATGGCTGGATGGCATCACCAACCCAATGGACATGAGTCTGGGTAAACTCTGGGAGTTGGTGATGGACAGGGAGGCCTGGCGTGCTGCGATTCATGGGGTCGCAAAGAGTCAGACAAGACTGAGCGGCTGAACTGACTGAACTGAAGGAACTTCAAAGAGAAGTATCAAAATTTAATAAAAATATAACTGAAATTGAAATAGTTTTTCACAAAAATTAAAAAGGAAAAAAAATCTTTGCCTGATTAGGTAACATCTAATAATTTTGTTTCTATATGATAGTCTGGTCACATCTCATATGAGCTTTCTTTTGTTTACCATCAAACTTTTACTTTTCAAAGATATGCAGGGTTAATTCCAACACAGACTGTAATAAAGAAAACTAGGAGGGACTTCCCTGGTGGGCCAGTGTCCTCGTCCCTGCAGTGTGGAGGACATGGGGATGATTCCTGGTGAGGGAAGTATGATCCCATATGCCGCGAAGCAACTAAGCCCACATACCCCAATTACTGAGGGCACGTGCTCCAGAGCCCGTGTGCCGCAACTAGAGTCCCAAGCACCACAAAGCAACACCTCACATGCCCCAACAAAGATCCGACACAGCCAAATAAATAAACAATTATTTTTTAAAAAGAAAGAGTTAGTTGCTCAGTCGTATCCAACTCTTTGCGACTGCATGGACTGTAGCCCACCAGGCTTCTCCGTCCATGGGATTTCCCAGGCAGGAATGCCCATTCCCAAGGGAATGGGTTGCCATTCCCTTCTCCAGGGGATCTTCCTGACCCAGAGATTCAACCCAGGTCTCCTGCACTGCAGGCACGTGCTTTACCATCTGAGCCACCAGGGAAGCTGTGCAGTGGTTAAACACAATGTAAATGCCTGGTAGTTTTCTTGCTTCCATGGAAGCGGAAGAAACAAAAACGGAAGTAACATTCCCATCAGTAATGGGCTCCATTCAGCAGGAATTCCTATGACACACGACGCTTCCTATAAGGCACACCAGAATGTGGGTGGGGCCACATGCGCCCAAGTCTGCCACACAAACTCTGCATGCAGAGAGCTCATCTCACCAACCCAGCAGCAGGGAATGATGTTCCCTGTGCCACAGAGGAGGGGGCAGACGGACAGTCTCATGGCAGAGTCCACAGCCTCAAACCACATCACACTAGATGAAGCTAACCTAGAGAGAGGTGAAAAACACCACATACACATTTGTACAGCAGAATCTTATTTCTTAAGAAATAAGACACACCCTCACACCTGAAAAACTGGGGGAAAAAAGACTGTAAAATTTTAATAAGTAGGTACATCAAAGGTGATGCTTCCCAGGAGGCACTAGTGGTAAAGAGCCTGCCTGCCAATGCAGGAGATGTGGGTTTGATTCCTGTGTCCAGAAGATCCCCTGGAGTAGGAAATGGCAACCCACTCCAGTACTCTTGCCTGGAGAATCCCATGGACAGAGGAGCCTGGCGGGCTACAATCCACAGGGTCGCAAAAGAGTTGGACACAACTGAGCACGCACTTAAAAGTTTTAGTTTACTAGAGGTTTACTATGGCTCTATCTGAAGTACTGATAGGTACACATACACCCAACGTGGGGGTGAGCACATAGCAGTCACCACAGAGGGTGAGCTGAGCAAGTGTCACCCTCATCCAGTAATTCCAACTCATTCAAGAACTTGGAGATACAGAGTTAAAGATGGGATATATCTGATTTCATAAATGCCTCTTTCTTATTTTTACTCATCCTATTGCTTAAAATAAAAACCAATCAAATCCTTAGGTATATTCTGATGACAAATAATAACCACTGGTCTATGGCTGGGCTGGAATAAATCAGTCCTACACACAAACAAGTGCCTGTTAGGTTCTTTATGTTTCAGCAAAATCCTACAGACTACAAGGCACATTATCTTTGTCAGCATCTACAGCATAAATTGGTTCCATTAAGTTAAGGGAAAAAGAGAGACAGAATTACCACAGCCCTTATAAACAACTCTTACAGTCCTAAGATATTTAAGAGTATTCTTTTATATTGAAAAGGAACAAGAGAGGAAAACTCACCCAGGATCCTACTGGTTGGCCTGAGGTCACCCACACCCTGGGGCCACGGATGCTGGAGAGACTCCGCTAGAAAAGTTAAACCACATGACTCCGATAGGAAGAATACATTTCAAGATTAAAGCGTGAAATAAAACCCAAAATACAAACGTGAGTTTGTTGTAAACCACCTCTGCCGTATGATTCACAGGACGCCTAACACAGAGCAGCGGAGCAGTGTGAGGGGACTAGGAAACATGGGTGTAGAGGGAATATTTACAGTGTTTCCACTGGCCATGACAGACTCTTCTCATATCTTCATGCTGATAAATGGCTCTTTTTCAAAATTATAAAAAACACCCTTGTTTTGATAATGCCATTAAACTACTAACATACAGACTTCTGAAAATATGTGTGCTTCCGCTCAGTCACTAAGTCAAGTCAGACTCTGTGACCCCATGGACTGTAGCCCACCAGGCTTCTCTGTCAATGAGATTTTCCAGGAAAGAATACTAGAGGGGTTTGCCCATTTCCTTCTCCTGGGGATATTCCTGACCCAGGGATTAAACCCATATCTCCTGTGTCTCTTGAACGACAGGTGGATTCTTTACCCACCTAGCCACAGAGTGAAAATGTAACTCCAAGTTAATAAGAAATTAATAATAATCTTTTTTCCTGCTCTCATAAAAACAAACCACAACAGCTCTCTTAGAACCTCAAAACTCAAACCTAACAAACTCACTAGGATTAAAATTAAAATATTTCAAAAAAAAATTAAAATATTAAATTCAGAGTCAAAGTCTCTGTCTCCATATGGGGAAAAGTCGATACAACAATTTATATTAATACACTAAGATTTCTATAAATAAGACAGCTTAAGGGAAACATACATTGGTGAAATCCACTCACTTTCCATCCTTTGAGAACCCTTTCCTTGCAAAAACATTGGCCAAAGAGTAAGTGCTGGATTGAGCTTATTGGAAAAGGATGCTGACTTTATATTCAATCTTGGCTTCTCCAAAGAATCAAAGTTCTCATTCTCCATGGGTGACACATAACAAGCGAAGTTCTTTGCAACCAGATCATCGTTAACACAAACCTGTATAAATATTTCATGAATAAGACAGACAGTCACGTGACTGTTCATAAAACATGCCAAACTTAATTGAAAATTTTAATCTTCAGAAAAATTATTTTATAAAACAGAATTCAACAGAAATTGATCTTGTGACTTCTGCTTTCATAACGGTGAACTACACACTTCTGGCCAACATTCTTGAGAAGAAAAACAGGAGAAAATATTTTTAGATAATACCTTTGGATGGTCAGGTATCCAGAATACATAAAGAACTCTCAAAAAACTCAATTAAAAGAAAATAAAACCAATTTTTAAATGGGCAAAACATAGCAATTAAAAGAGTACAGCATTGGCATAAAAACAGACACATAGTTCAATGGAACAGAAAGATAGCCCCAAAATAAACGTAGATATATACGGTCAATAAAATTACTAAAAAGGAGCTAAGATTATATAACGGGGAAATGACAATCTCTTCAATAAATTGTGTTGGGAAAACTAGACAGCTACACGAATAACAATGAAACTGTGCTATTAACTCACACCATATACAAACAAACTCAAAATGGATTAAAGACTTGAATATAAGATCTGAAACCATAAAATGCATAGAAGAAAACATAGGTGGTAACAGGCTCCTTGACACTGGTCTTGGTGATAATTTTTGGAGCTTGACACCAAAAGCAAAGGCAACAAAAGTGAAAATAAACCAGCTGAACTCATACATCAAACTAAAAAGCTTCTTCAGAGCAAAAAAAAGCACCAATAAAACAAAAAGATTTTTAGTAAGAAGAAACATCTGTAAGTCACTTATTATCTGATAAGGGGTTAATATCCAAAATACATAAAAACTCATAAATAACAGTAACAAACAAACCCCCAAATAATCCAATTTAAAAATGGGCAGAGGCCATTATACAGAGTGAAGTAAGCCAGAAAGATAAAGACCATTACAGTATACTAACACATATATATGGAATTCAGAAAGATGGTAATGATGACCCTATATGCAAAACAGAAAAAGAGACACAGATGTATAGAACAGACTTTTGGACTCTGTGGGAGAAGGCGAGGGTGGGATGTTTCAAGAGAACAGCATCAAAACATGTATATTATTTAGGGTGAAACGGATCACCAGCCCAGGTTGGATGCATGAGACAAGTGCTCCGGCCTGGTGCACTGGGAAGACCCAGAGGGATCGGGTAGAGAGGGAGGTGGGAGGGGGGATCGGGATGGGGAATACATGTAAATCCATGGCTAATTCATGTCAATGTATGACAAAAACCACTACAATATTGTAAAGTAATTAGCCTCCAACTAATAAAAATAAATGAAAAAAAAAATGGGCAGAGGATCTGAATCAACATTTTTCCAAAGAAGACATGCAGATGGTCAACAGGGACAAGAAAAGATGTTCAATATCACGAACCACCAGGGAAATGCAGATCAAAACCATAGTGAGGTATCACTTCGCATCTGTCAGAATGGCGACGGTTAAAAAGACAAGAAACACCCAGGGCAGGTGTTTCAAGGATGTGGAGAAAAAGGAACTCTTAGGCACTATTGGTAGGAATGTAAATTGGCATAGTCACTCTGGAAAACAGTACCGTGGTTCCTCTAGAAATTAAAAACAGAATTACTATACAATCCAGCAATTCCACTTCTGGGTATTTATCTGAGGAAAACAAAAACATTAACTTGAAAAGACACATGCATCTCCATGTTCACTGCAATATTATTTACAATAGCCAAAATTATGGAAACAATCTAAGTATTCATCAGTGGATGAATGGATAAAAAAAATGTGGTGTATACACATATATACACAATGGGATATTATTTGGCCACAAAAAAGAATGAAATCTTTCCATCTGTGACATTAAGAACATTATGCTAAATGACATAAGTCAGAGAAAGACAAAAGCTACATAATCTCCACTTCTATGTGGAATCTAAATACAAAACAAAACAAGCTCACAGAGAACAGACCGGTGACTGCCAGAGCTGGGGTCAGGAGCATAGAGGGAGGAGGTGGTGGAACGGGAGAAGAGAGTCAGAAGGTAAAAACTTTCAATTATAAAATAAGTAAGTCACGGCATAGGATGTACAGCATGGTGGTTATAGTTAACAATACTGTATTGCATATTTGAAAGCTGCGAAGAGTAAATCTTGTCATGAGAACAAGAAAAAACATTCTGTCACTGTGTGGTGATGGATGTTAACCAGACACTGTGCAACGCATATGTACAAGTATTAAGTCATTGTGCTGCACATTTGTGACTAACAGAAAGTTGTACATCAATTATACCTCAATTTTAAAAAAGGATAAAAAATTTTTAAACAGAGAAAATGAAAAAAAAAAGGATAAAAAATTTGAATACTTCATTAAAGACATATGGATTGCAAACAGCATATGAAAAGACACTCAAGACTGTTACGTCATTGAGTGAGTGAGTGAAGTCGCTCAGTCGTGTCCAACTCTTTGCGACCCCATGGACTATAGCATACCAGGCTCCTCTGTCCATGGGATTTTCCAGGCAAGGGTACTGGAGTGGGTTGCCATTTCCTTCTCCAAGAAGGAAAATGCATTAGGGAAGTGCAAATAAACTACAGTGAGAGACCACTACACACCAGTGAGAATGACCATAAAAGTAATGGCGAGGATGTGGAGGAATTGTAACTCTCATTGCTGATGGGGCTGTGCAATGGTCACTCTGGAAAACAGTGTGGTAGTCTCTTAACACTTACAAAACTGCCCCAAAATGTGACTCCTGGGTATTTACCCAAGAAAAATGAAAGCACAGGTCCAAGGAAGACTTGCACATAAATCACCACAGAAGTTTCATCTGCACTTGCCCCACAGAGGCCACAACTCAAATGTCCATTAACAAGTGAATGGGCAAACACTGTAGTATATCCAGACACTGGAAGGACACTGACAATACAAAGATCAACATGCAAGTCTCCTAAAAATTTTGTGCGAAAGAAAACAAGTTTAAGAAAGAGAGAGAGAGAGAACACCCTGGACACATCCTTGTGCTTCCTTTAGGAGATAGGAAAGAACCGTTGGCCCAATTTTTTTTTTCTAGCAATTATGACCTCATGCACCCACCACTGTTAGTTCTCTCTGCTGAGCATGCCTCTGCTCTTTAACAGCCTGAGGTAAGAGCAAGTGTGATTGATACTGTTTTTCTTGTGTGCATTGTTTTATTAAAACAGCATTTTAATAATAATAAAATACTCTAAAAATACAACTCTTTCACTTACCTTTTCATTTTTTAGAGTTACATAAAGGTAAACCTCAAAAGTATCTTCTTCCACAGCACATAATTTGGCTTCTACCTGGGTAGTTGCTAAATAGCATAAATGAAAACATAAAGAAGATGATGTTAAAAGTATGCCTGAGGGACTTTCCTGGGAGTCCAGTGGTTCTGGCCGGGGGACTAAGATCCCGCATGCCATGCCTCATGGCCAAAAAAATAAGAATGGGTGAAACAACTATGACTATTTCTTGCCTGTTACTCTCTGGTAACTACTCACGACTACCCAGTGCCACACCGTCCGACAGCTTCCTCCCTCAGAAGGGGTCTGGCGGCAGGCGAGCCAAGGTGAAGGCTCTCCAGGCAAAGTCCACCAAGTGTCCTCTGTCCCCCCAGCCCCCATCCTCCTCCGGCCGCCCTGTGACAGCACCTCGCGCACAGCTCTGGGCCCCTCTTCTTTCCCAGTGAGCCCCAAGCCCACACGCCCAGAGTCGTCCCGCCCTCCAACGCCTGCAGAGTAGCTCCACGTGTGGGTGCCAAGAGGCACACTGCTCACCCTACCGGCGAGTCCCACTTCCCGCTCACCTCAAGCCTCCGAGGTAGCGCTGGCATCACTTTACAGGTGAGGGGACCAGGCTCTCAGAAGGCTGCTCAGAGGCAGCAGAACAGTACTCAACCCAAGCACTCTGCCTCCTCCAAATCTGAGCCTCCCAGGGCGCCTGTGGGCTCACAAGGGCCCGAACGACAAAACCAGAGGCGCCCCTACCTCCCATTTCTCCAGGAACAATGCCTCTGGCTGCTCCTTCACCCAGACAGCGGGGCAGTGAAGGAGAGAGGCCAGGGCCTCAACAGGCATCAGGATGCAGCTCAGCCACTGCACACCCACTACTCCTCAGCATGACCCTAGAGGCTGCTCAGTTACTTGGCTCAGACTACCAAGGCTTAGGACAGATGCCACAAAGGATAGTCTAATTTACGGCCAACAATGTAAACAGAGAGCATGCTAAACAGGTGCTGAGACATTCTATATATCTTCATGAGCAAGGATGAGGATCACACAGTAAGTACCCACTTACTACCCTTTGCCTGCTAAAAAATAGGCTTTTCATGGTTGTTGGTTCAATGAAATGCACGTAAGTTATTTTGCAGTGCTGTAGTTTGATACAGACTAAGAGAAAGGCATTATCATCGTGTAAGGGTGCCTCACCCACACAATTCCTTGCTGATTTCACTTGTCTATTACTGATGTCTACATCCATTCCTCAGATTCCAAGGGTGCAGAGTCACTGTGACACTTGGAGTGGAAAAAGCTCCATGTGACTTATGAATCCCCTTGAGGGGGGAGGTCAAACACTAAGCACACACATCTCAAACCCTTTTCCCAACAGAAGGTGAAACACCCTGGGGTGTCAGTTCAAAGCAGGCAGCTGTGGTCATGCCCTTGCCTCACCTTTCAGGATGTTCTGGAAGTACTGAATAGCTGCACTGTCCCACTTCTTGGCCCGTCTGGAACAGAGAACAAAGGCAATCTCATTAAATAAAAGCCAAGGCTAGTCATGCTAACATCACTTTGAAACTTCACACTGGATGTTTCGGACATTACACATGGGACATATGATGCAGGAAATGGGGAGTCTAGCTCTGGCCTGGGGTGATGACCCCAGCTGCACCCCACAGCAGGCCTCTCTCCCACCACCTCCTGCGCCAATGTAGAGACTCACTATGAATGGGCCCTTTGTGGGGCTTCCTGCGATACTGTGCCCACCTCCATGGCATCATCCATCCCAAAACCATTGTCCCATTTACCTGCAACATCTGTTTCCCCAGACAGGGTGCTAACTCCCCGGGACAGGGACCCTGAGTGAGGAATGCTCAGCACAGGCTGGCAGAGTGAGGGCTCCCTGCACGTTGGTTAAACCAAAGTTCTAAGAGTGGCCACGGGGAGCCCAGGCCCTGCTGTCTCATGGTATTCCTCACTCTGACAACTCCCTTTCACTGTGTCCCACCTCTCCCCATCATCTTGTCCTTTCCTCTGTGTGATACTGTGATTTATAGTAAGAAATATAAACTTGGTCATTGTCACTGTTTCTGGCACAGAGCTCAGTGATGAGTGATAAAAGGTGTCTTTTGTTATGTTAATGAGGCGACCTGTAGAAAGCACCTAGGTAACAGAGATGAGGGCTAGTTGCCAGGGGAACCAAGCTGGTGATTAGAGGGTTGGAACTTTGACTCCCACTCCCTGGACCTTTGGGGAAGGGAGAGATACTGGAGGTTGAATCAACTGTCAAAGGCCAATGATTTAATCAATCATGACTAGGTAATGAAGCCTCCATAAACACTAAAAATGGACTAGGTTGGGAGCTTCTGGGCTGGTGAACACTTGGAAATGTGGGGGAACAGGTGTGCCTGGAGGGAAGGCAGCTCCTTTCCCCAGACCTTGCCCCGTGCATCTCTTCCATCTGGCTGCTCCTGAGTTATTTCACTTATACTAAACTGGTGAAAATTAGAGTGCACTGTCTTATTGGTGAATTTACCTTAAGAATGTTTGTTGAAACTCTTTGCCAAGACATGTACTCCTTTCTACTCTCAGTCTTTCTCCTGGGGGCATATAATTGGCAAACTAGCTGCCCCTAACCGTTCCTCTCTTGCTAGCCAGCTAGGCTGTTTCCAAACAAGTCTGCATTGTACATTTCTCGTAAGAAAACAGATACATCTAAACAAAACATATACATGTATAGATATATACATGCACGCATGCACATGTGTACACATGTATCTCTCACCCCCCCCCCCCCCNCCCCCCCCCCCCATCTCGTGATCTGATCACACTGCAGGTGTTTGTATGGGATGGGTCCCTGCACTGGGCAGTGCTGTGTCAGGGTTATGACTGTGATCTTTGCTGTCTTGAATGATCACGTCCTGAGGTCCTGGGGATAGCCTCCCACCCCGCCCTGGCACTCTGTCTTTCCCCCTCCTCCATCACTGTGGCTTTGTGGGGGATAAAGCTGCAGGAAGCAGCACAGTTCTGGTTCAGCCTGCATGGCCTGGTGATGCTGCGTTCTAAGTTCTCTCTCAGCTTGGAGGCTGCCTCCATTATCGATGCTTTTGTGAGGTCTGTGGAGACCCTCCATCTCCATGGCCCGAGCCCTCGTCACCTGTAGTTCCCTTGGGCCGATAAAATCATCACTCTTGCAGCTGCCTTGGGATCCACACCAAAAGATACTAAGACAGCTGGTAAATTCGCCAATAAGACACTGCACTCTAATTTTCATTAAAAGTTCCATGAATGTGACTATGCATAAAAGCACCACCAAAGGTCTGCCAGTTCAGAGCCTGAAAAGGTCACAGAGGCTTCCTGGGAGGGAGGGCAGGAGGGAGGAAACAGGGCTGGAGAAGGATGCCTGGACTTTTTGCTAATGCTCCATGATCCGATGTATCCATGTTTCTCTTTGCAGTTAACTTGCCCTTTTTTGTAAAAAGCAAAAAACCAAAAAACAGAGCTCGGGTCTTACTGTAAACCCCCCTACACTGCAGCCTCTGGAGATGGCTGCACGGCCAGGGTTGACAGGCTGATTCAGAAGATTCCTCCAGAAGGACAAAGAGACCTTTGAAATCGTTTTAGCACTTCACATAAAGACTTGATTTCACATGGACTTCCTACACTCATTTAAGACCTTTACTAATGATTCAGCATATATTAGAAGCTGTACTTACACAATTTCAGCACTGTCTTCACAGAAGTTAATGTGCAATGTGACAGGTTTTATGCAGTACAGTCTGAATTTTTTTGCTCTGTAGGGAAGCTGCATAAAAGTTTCTATGGCAACTCGGATGCTTAACAGTAAAACAGAAACAGTTTCATGATTAAAAAAAAATTATACGTAACACATTTCTTTAAAGTCCACCTATATAATTAACATACTTAACAAAAAATACACAAAATCTGATTCTATTTCTAACACAGCCACCAACAACAGCAAATGCTTGGAGACATTTGCCCAACAAGGTGAAAACTGGTTCTTGGGGGCAGAGGAAAAAAACCTTACTTTTCTATGTATAAAGCACAAAAGTGCATGTAGTATATAAGTACATACAGTATCTAAAAGATACTCAGTAATCTTTGGCATTAAAATTTCATGGCATGGCGGCAGGGAGGGATTAGAAAAATACTGTCTCCTTAGATTGAGAAACACTGGGTAATTACAAACAAACCTGGAAGCAAATTTTATTTAAGATTTTAAAATTTCAATTTCAATACATAACCAGAATTACCTTTAAGTTTCTGTAAATAAGCAGATGTTTTCAGAATCACTGTTTGTCAACTCTGCACAAAAGAGCTGATGGACTGCAGTTTGATAAGTAAGTTGTTGCACATTTTTATTTCCATTCTCCTTCATGAAAATGATAGAGCATTTGCACGTACAGTTTCGACATCAACATGTTCTCAAGGCCACATGTGGGCAGCCTGGCCACCTCGTCTCAAACAGTTAAGAGAAAGTGACTGCACTAACTGCCCCTCCAGGCTTCCTTGCTCTAATCAAACAATTCTCTTGCCAAAAACAAACTAAATTAAAAAACCCAAATGCTAACAGGAAATCTCCCAAGCCATTAATTATGTTATTTTTAATAACCAATATAGCTATAAAGTGAGATGGCTAGATGAGATGATTGGATGGCATCACCAACTCGATGGACATGAGTTTGAGCAAGCTCTAGGAGTTGGTGCTGGATGCTCAGGGAAGCCCGGTGTGCTGCAGTCCATGGGGTCGCAAAGAGCTGGACTTGACTGAATGACTGAACTGAACTGAACTGATGGTTATAAAGGTGCAGAACCAGAAGCTGGACAGGCATCGCCTTTCCTGTGAACACCTGCCGGCCTCCCGTGTGGGAGCAGCCTCCTAGTACAGACTCCCTGTCAGGGCGTCACCTCTCCTGTAGCTGGGACTGTTCTTTCTTTTTCAGAAGAACAGTCCTCACATTTATTTATTTATTATTTATTAAACTGACATCCGCTGACACTGGGGCAGGAACCATGAAAAAATTAGCAAAAATACCAAGACTGACTTGCTGAGAGTGTTTTCTAGGGAACTGCAACGTGTGGTCCTGGAGTCAGCAAGGGTCACTCTGTGACAGTCACACCCTCACTCTGCTAAGTGGGACAACCAGGGACACATGTTCTTACCTCTGTAATCTGAAGCTGTGCCAGCAAGCCATCCCATGTGTAGTAAAGAGGTCTTCCTAAAGGACCCACTCCATTCCTTGAGCAGGGGACAGGTCACACCAGGCCAGGCAAATGGCTGGCCAAGAGCACCTGCCCTTTCCAGGAAGGATGGTGGAAGGAGGGCTGGAGCTGCCTGCTGACCCCTCATCCTAACCACCTGCTCTTACATTCACTGCTCGTAAAACTGGAACCTGCAATCTGCTCTTCCTGAAGCTAAAAAATTCCAGTTTATGACCTCTCATCCCTTTCTTTGAAAATTAACACTCTCCTTCAAAACTGACACTTGTCCCCCCAGAGAGCATAAAGCAAAATAAATATGTACTTACTTTTTGGATTTCACTGGAACATATCTAGCAAAATCCACAAGGAAACACTCTGCGAGGTAATGGTCTGCTGAAGACACGATTGACTTGATAACTGCCCTGCACCAGCACTTTAGTTCCTGACAATAAACCACACAAACCTACAAAATAAAAAGAAAACTTCAGTGTTAAATTCTCTAGCCATAATCAGAAAACTATAAGATACTGATAAAAGAAATCAAAGATGACACAAACAGATGGAGAGATATACCACATTTCTGGATTGGAAGAATCAATACTGTGAACCATACTACCCAAAGCAAACTACAGATTCAATGCAATCCCTATCAAATTACCAATGGCATTTTTCATAGAATTAGAACACAAAATTTTACAATTTGCATGGAAACACAAAAGACCATGAACAGCCAAATCAATCTTAAGAAAGAAAAATAAAGCTGGAGGAATCAGGCTCCCTGACTTCAAATTACACTACAAAGCCAATCATGAAAACAGTATGGTACTGGCACCCCTGCCCCGAAAAAAGAAAGAAAAAAACAGGAATATAGATCAATGGAACAGGATGGAAAGTTCAAATACAAACCCATGTAGCTATGGTCACCTAATCCATAACAAAGGAAATAAGACTATGCAATGGAGGAAAGAGTCTCTTCAATAAGTGGTGCTGGCCAAACTGGACAGCTACACGTAAAAGAATGAAATTAAAACACCCCCTAACACCATACACAAAAACAAACTCAAAATGGATTAAAGACCTAAATGTAAGGCCAGATACTATAAAATACTTAGAGAAGAACACAGGCATAACAGTCTCTGACACAAAACACAGTAAGATCTTTTTTTAACACATCTCCTAGAGTAATAAAAATAAAAACAAACAAATAGACCTAATTAAACGTAAAAGCTTTTGCACAGGAAAGTGAAAGTTGCTCATTGTGTCCAACTCTTTGCAACCCCATTGACTATACAGACTGTGGAATTCTCCAGGCCAGAATAGTAGAGTGGGTAGCCCTTCTCTTCTCCAGGAGATCTTCCCAACCCAGGGATCAAACCCAGGTCTCCCATATTGCAGGTGGATTCTTTACCAGTTGAGCCACAAAGGAATCCCAAGAATACTGGAGTGGGAAGCCTATCCCTTCTCCAGCGGATCTTCCCGACCCAGGAAGTGAACCAGGGTCTCCTGCATTGCAGGCGGATTCTTTACCAACTGAGCTATGGGAAACCGTAAACAAAATGAGAAGACGACCCTCAGAATGGGAGAAAATATTTGCAAACAAAGCAACCGATGAGGGATTAACCTCCAAAATATACAAACAGCTCATGCAGCTCAATATCAAAACAACAATCCAATCAAAAAGTGAGCAGAAGATCTAAATAGACGTTTCTCCAAAGAATATATATAGATGATTAAAAAGCACATGGAAAGATACTCAACACCACTAATTATTAAAGAGATACAAATCAAAACTACAGTAAGATACCACCTCACACTGGTCAGAATGGCCATCTCTGAAAAATCTAAAGATAATAAATGCTGGAAAGGGTGCAGAGAAAAGGGAACTCTCCCAATGTTGGTGGAAATGTACATGGTAACAGCCACTGTGAGAACAGTATGGAGGTTCCCTAAAAACTAAAATGGAGCTACCATATGACCCAGCAATCCCACTCCCAGACGTATATCCAGAAAAAAACATAATTTGAAAAGATTCATGTACCGCAATGTTCACTGCAGCACCAGATTGGAAAGCTCTCTCTGCTAAGTTCCCCATGAAGGATCCAGAATAATCCTCCGGTTCCCAGCCCCAGGACAATGGCCCCCATGACGGTGTTTACGTGACACTCCATCTCCTGTTGCCCCACGTGAACCTAATACAGTTGCCACTTTTCATGACTAGTCTGACTTACACAATCAAAAGAACCTAATACAAAACAGCAATTAAAAACAACTGAAATGCCAACTTAGCTGCCAAAACAGTCTACATTTTGAGTAGTATTTCAAGACACAGTGTTGAAAGCACATTCAGATACATACCTGCCCTTCTTCCAACTTGAGTGGTTTTATTTCTATATCGTGACACATGCTATTATAGAAGTCATTCATGGCACTATTCAGTTTTTGATAGTCAACTTCATGATCTAAAAAGGGACTACATCCTTTTATAATAACCCAGAAGCAACCTGGATCTTCAATCTGTAAAAATTTCAAAAGAAAAATAAAACAACCCATCATTTAAAAGTGGAACTATAAAACCTCAGAATCACAGTAACTGTTTCAAAATTAAGTGCTTTAACAAATTCTTGATGAGTACCTCTGTCTTAAAGGGTTGGATAGAAGATAAAAGAACTTCAATATATACGTATATCAAATCATCACCTTCTATACCCTGAACTTATATAACATGATATGTCAACTATACTTCAATAAAACTGGGAAAAAAGATGAAAGGTGTAAACACAAAAATGTCAAACATGTAACCAATAATATGTAAGTAACTCTATTGATTTTTTGTAATTTTAAATTGTCTATTGTGATTCAAAAAGCAAAGACCAAAATCTTTTATCAGTATTTTGAAAATATAATAAAATACAAAAGCAAGGTTCAAGACAATGTTTTCAGTACTCCATCTCTTTTGTAAGAAAGAGAAGAAAATATGGATGCATGTACATTCTGCTCACTTTCAAAGAAACAAATGATGGCAAATGAACAAAAAAAACATACAAATTTTACCTACAGAGGAAGCCAAGAATGGGGTAGAAGGGATACAAATGAAAGTCAGATTTCTCTGTTCAGAGAATAAGAATAGATATCATCTACCAGTGTCATTAAAAATCAAGATTTTCATCATTAGATGAAAAATAAAAGAAAAAGAAATTGTGAGAAAAAGGAAAATAAGAGAAAATAAAATTGAAATAAAAGGAAAAGACAGTGAAGGACAGGGAAGCCTGGCATGCTGCAGTCCACGCGGTCACAAAGAATCAGACACAACTGAGTCAGTGAAGAACCCACAAGCTTTGATTCTCTTTGACATCCATCACAGGAAAGCGGAGTTTGGAGCAGGAGTCCTACCAAGTTAAGGAGGCTCAGTAAATACCTCAGGCTCCCTCATAGAACCCATGCAGTGTCAGGCCTGAGAAATAAAGCCCATGTTTCAGGACAAAGACAACATGCTCTGTCATCAAGTAGAAAAGCAGTCAGTCAGTTCAGATGCTCAGTCACGTCCGACTTTGTGATCCCATGGACTGCAGCACATCGGCTTCCCTGTCCATCACCAACTCCCAGAGCTTGCTCAAACTCATGTCCATTGAGTCAATGATATCATCCAACCATCTCACCCTCTGTTGTCCCCCGTTCCTCCTGCCTTCAATCTTTCCCAGCATCAGGGTCTTTTCTAATGAGTCAATTCTTCGCATCAGGTGGCCAAAGTATTGGAGTTTCAGCTTCAGCATCAGTCCTTCCAATGAATATTCAGGACTACTTTCCTTTAGGATGGACTGGTTTGAGCTCCGTGCAGCCCAAGGGACTCTCAAGAGTCTTCTCCAATATCACAGTTCAAAAGCATCAATTCTTCAGCACCCGGCTTTCTTTATAGTCCAACTCTCACATCCATACACAACTACTAGAAAAATCATAGCTTTGTTGACAAAGTAACATCTCTGCTTCTTAATATGCTGTCTAGGTTTGTCATAGCTTTTCTTCCAAGGAGCAAGTGTCTTTTAATTTCATGGCTGCAGTCACCATCTGCAGTGATTTTGGAGCCCAAGAAAATAAAGTCTGTCACTGTTTCCATTGTTTCCCCATCTATTTGCCATGAAGTGATGGGACTGGATGCCATGATCTTCGGGTTTTTTTTAATTAATTAATTTTTTTTATTAATTGGAGGCTAATTACTTCACAATATTGTAGTGGTTTTTNAGCCATCCTGACTGGCGTGTAATGGTACCTCATTGTGGTTTTGATTTGCATTTCTCTGATAATGAGTGATGTTGAGCATCTTTTCATGTGTTTTTTAGCCATCTGTATGTCTTCCTTGGAGAAATGTCTGTTTAGTTCTTTGGCCCATTTTTTGATTGGGTCATTGATCTTCGTTTTTTGAATGTTGAGTTTTAAGCCAGCTTTTTCACTCTTCTCTTCCACTTTCATCAAGAGACCCTTTAGTCTTCTTTGCTTTCTGCCATAAGGGTAGTGTCATCTGCATATCTGAGGTTACTGATATTTTTCCCGGAAACCTTGATTCCAGCTTGAGCCTTAGGTAGCCCAGCATTTTGCATGATGCATTCTGCATATAAGTTAAATAAGCAGGATTACAATATACAGCCTTGATGTGTTCCTTTCCCAATTTTGAACCAGCTGGTTGTTCCATGTGCAGTTCTAACTGCTGCTTCTTGACCTGCACACAGGTTTCTCAGGAAGCAGGTAAGGCAGTCTGATATTCCCATCTCTTGAAGAATTTTCCAAAGTTTGTTGTGATCCACACAGTCAAAGACTCTAGTGTAGTCAATGGAGAAGTAGATGTTTTTCTGGAATTCTCTTGTTTATTCTATGATCCAACAGATGCTGGCAATTTGATCTCTGGTTCCTCTGCCTTTTCTGAATCCAGCTTGAACACGTAGAAGTTCTTGGTTCATGTACTGCTGAAGTCTGGAGAATTTTGAGCATTATTTTGCCAGCATGTGAGATGAGCGCAACTGTGTGGTAGTTTGAACATTCTTGGGCATTGCCTTTCTTCGGGACTGGAATGAAAAAACGGACCCTTTTCTAGTCCTCTGGCCACTGGTGTGTTTTCCAAATTGGCTGATGTATTGAGTGCAGCGTTTTAAGAACATCATCTTTTAGGATTTGAAATCGCTCAGCTGGAATTCCATCACCTCCACTAGCTTTGTTTGCAGTGCTGCTTCCGAAGGCCCACATGACTTCACACTCCAGGATGTCTGGCTCTAGCTGAGTGGTCACACCATCATGGTTACCTGGGTCATTATTTTTTGTATAGTTCTGTGTATTCTTGCCACCTCTTCTTATATCTTCTGCTTCTATTAGGTCCATACTGTTTCTGTCCTTTATTATGCCCATCTTTGCATGAAATGTTCTCTTGGTATCTCTAATTTTCTTGAAGAGATTTCTAGTCTTTCTCATTTTACTGTTTTCCTCTATTCCTTTGCACTGATTATTTAGGAAGGCTTTCTTATCTCTCCTTGCTATTCTTTGGAACTCTGCATTCAGATGGATATATCTTTTTCTCCTTTGCTTTTTACTTCTCTTCTTTTCTCAGCTATTTGTAAGGCCTCCTCAGACAACCATTTTGCCTTTTGCATTTCTTTTTTTTGGGGATAGTTTTGATCACCACCCCCTGTACAATATTACAAACCTTCATCCAGAGTTCTTCAGGTACTCTGTTAGATCTAATTCCTTGAATCTATTTGTCACATCCACTGTATAATCATAAATGATTTGATTAAGGTCCTACCTGAATGGCCTAGTGGTTTTCCCTACCTTCTTCAGTTTAAATCTGAATTTTGCAATAAGGAGTTCACGATCTCAGCCACAGTCAGCTCCTGGTCTTGTTTTTGCTGACTATATAGAGCTTCTCTATCTTTAGCTGCAAATAATATAATCAATCTGATTTCACTATTGACCACCTGGTGAGGTCCATGTGTAAAGTCGTCTCTTGTGCTGTTGGAAGAGGATGTTTGTATGACCAGGGCGTACTCTTGGCAAAACAAAGTCTTTGCCCTGCTTCATTTTGTACTTCAAGGCCAAACTTGCCTGCTACTCTAGGTATCTCTTGATATCCTACTTTTGCATTCTAGTACCCTATGATGAAAAGGACATCTTTTTTTGGTGTTAGTTCCAGAAGGTCCTGTAGGTCATCATAGAACTGTTCAACTTCAGCTTCTTTGGCATTAGTGGTTGGGGCACAGACTTGGATTACTGTGATACTGAATGGTCTGCCTTGGAAACGAACAGAGATCATTCTGTCATTTTTGAGACTGCATCCAGCTACTGCATTTTGGACTCTTCTGTTGACTATGAGGGCCCCTCCATTTCTAATAAGGGATTCTTGCCCACAGCAGTAGATATAATGGTCATATGAATTAAATTCTCCCATTATAGTCCGTTTTAGTTCACTGATTCCTAAAATGTCTGTGTTCACTTTTGCCATCTCCTGTTTGACCATTTCCAACTTACCTTGGTTCATGGACCTAACATTCCAGGTTCCTATGCAAAACTGTTTTTTACAGCATCAGACTTTACTTCCATCACCAGTCACATCCACAACTGGGCACTGTTTCTGCTTTGCGTCTGCCTCTTCATTCCTTCTGGAGCTATTTCTCCACACTTGTCTAGTAGCATATTGGGCACCTACTCACCTAGGGAGTTCATCTTTCAGTGTATTATCTTTTTGCCTTTTCATACTGTTCATGGGGTTCTCAAGGAAAGAATACTGAAGTAGTTTGCCATTCCCTTCACCAGGGACCATGTTTCGTCAGAACTCTCCACCATGACCCATCTGTTCTGGGTAGCCCTACATGGCACTGCTCATAGTTTCACTGAGTTAGACAAGGCTATGATCCATGTGATCAGTTTGGTTAGTTTTCTGTGATTGTGGTTTTCATTCTGTCTGCCCTCTGATCAAAGAGGATAAGAGGCTTGTGGAAGCTTTCTGATGGGAGGGACAGGCTATGGGGGAATCTGGGTCTTGCTCTAATGGGCAGGGCCATGCTCAGTAATTCCAAAGAATGCTCAAACTACTACACAATTGCACTCATCTCACACGCTAGCAAAGTAATGCTCAAAATTCTCCAAGCCAGGCTTCAACAGTACATGAATTGTGAACTTCCAGATGTTCAAGCTAGATTTAGAAAAGGCAGAGGAACAAGAGATCAAACTGCCAACATCTGTTGGATCATTGAAAAATCAAGAGTTCCAGAAAAACATCTATTTCTGCTTTATTGACTATGCCAAAGTCTTTGACTGTGTGGATCACAATAAACTGTGGAAAATGCTTCAATAGATGGGAATTCCAGACCACCTGACATGCTTCCTGAGAAATCTGTATGCAGGTCAGAAAGCAACAGTTAGAATTGGACATGGAACAACAGACTGGTTCCAAATTGGGAATGGGGTCCGTCAAGGCTGTATATTGTCATCCTGCTTATTTAACTTATACGCAGAGTACGTCATGAGAAACGCCG